AAAAAGGAAATAAAAAGAAAGAGAAAAGAAAGAAAATGAAATGAATGAAAAGAGAAAAGAAAGAAAAAGAAAATAAAAGAAAGAAAAGGAAATAAAAGAAACAGAAAAGAAAAAAGGAAATAAAATAAAGAGGAAAAAGATAGACAGAACGAAAAGGAAATAAAAGAAAGAGATAAAAAGAAATGGAAAAGGAAATGAAAGAAGAGGAAAAGAAAGAAAAAAGGGAAATAAAAGAAAAAGGAAATGAAAAAGAAAAGATAGCAAAAAGAAAAGAAAAAAATTAGATAGAAAACTGAAAAAAGGGAAATGAAATGTAAAGAATGAAAAGGAAAAAAAAAAAAAGAAAGAAAGGAAAAATGAAAGAAAGGAAATATAACAAAATAGAAATAAAAGGAAATAAAAGAAAGATAGAAAGTTCCCATAAGGAAATGAAAGAAAGCATGTTAAAGAGGAAAGCATCTCAGTCCCAATCTTTTAAAAAGGAAAAAGATAGAGAGAAAACCATCTCTTCTACTCTAAAAGCTTTAGATAAAAAAGAAGAAAAAGAAATGTAGAACTCCTTCTCTTACTAGAAAATGAAATATTAGAATCTTCAAAAAAGAAATGTAAAGGAAATGAAATCTTCTGGATGCCTAGATTTAATTCCTGAAAAGGAAATCAAAGAAAAGAGAAAGAAAGAAAAGGAATGAAAAAGAAAAGATAGAATAACCCCCCCTTGAAATAAAAGAAAGAGAGATAAAACCTTGAAAAGGAAAAAAAGAAAAAAATAAATAAAAAAATTACAATGAAAGAGAGAATGAAAAGAAAAGGAAATAAAGAAAAGGGAAAGAACCTGGGAGAAAAGGAAATGAAAGAATAAGGTGAAAAGAAAGAAAAGGAAATAAAAGAAAGATAAAGATAAAATAGGAAAAGAAAGAAATAAAAGAAAGAAGAAAGCAAAGAAAAGAAAGAGGTAAAAGATAGAATAAAGGAAAAAAGTGAAAAGGAAATGAATCTTCAAAGAAAGAAAAGGAAATAAAAGAAAGATAGAAAAGAAAGAAAAGGAAAAGAAAGAGAGAATGGAAAAGCAAAGGAAAGAGAAAAAAAAAAGGAAAGAAAAAATGAAATGAAAAGAAAGACAGAAAAGAAAAGAAAAGGCCCTTTGAAAATCCTCGTATAAGAAAGAAAAGAAAGAAAAGGAAAAAAAGAAAGAGAAAAGAAAGAAAAAGGAAAAGCAAGAAAAGAAAGATTTAAGAAAGAAAAGATGTGAATGAAAAACAAAAAAAGAAAAGGAAAAAGAAAGAGAGAAAAAGAAAAGAAAAATTAAAAAGAGATAGAAAGAAAAAAGAAAAGAGAAGTGAACAAAAAGAGAGAAGGAAAAAAACGAAACAAAGAAAGAGGAAAAAGAAAATGAATGAAAAGAAATAAAGAGAGAAAATGAAAGAAAAGGAAAAAAAGAAAGAAAAAGATAGGATAGAAAGATCAAGGTGAAATAAAAGAAAGAATAAAAAGAAAAGGAAAGAAGAAAAGAGAGAAAAGAAAGAAATTAAAAAAAACAAAATGAAAGATAGAATAAAAGAAAAGGAAAATATAAGAAAGAAGAAAAAAAAAAAAGAAATGAAAGAAATAGTGAAATAAAAATAAAAGAAAAAAATAAAAAGAGAATCAATGAAAGAAAAGGAAATTTAAAACAAATAGAAAAGAAAGAAAATTTTCTGAAAGAAATTGGAAAAGAAATAAAGAAATGGAAAAAAAGAAAGATATAAAACAAAAAAAGAAAAAAGAAAGAAAAAAGAAAATTGAATGAAAAAAAAAATGAAATAAAAAAAAGAAATTTAAAGAAAGACAAAAAAGGAAAAAGGAAAAAAGTTAGAGATAAAAGAATGAAAAGGAAAAAAAATGAAAGAGATAAAAGAAAGAAAAGGAAATAAAAAAAATTTCTAAAGAAAGAAAAGGAAATCAAAGAGGGATATTTTATAAAAGAAAAGAAATACACAAATTTCCTAAAGAGAAAAGGAAATGAAAAGAGAAAAGAAAAAAAATCCTGGGTTCGAAAAGATAGAATCACTAGAAAAGGAAATAAAGAAAGATGAGGCAAAGAAAGAAAGAGGAAAGAGAAAACAGAAAGAAATGAAAGAAAGAAAGAAACAAAAAGAAAGAAAATGAAATTCAAGATTGGTCCAAGAAAGAAAAGGAAATGAAAGAAAGAGAGAAAAGAAAGAAAAAGGAAATGAAAGAAAGAGGGAAAGGACAACAATGAAAAAGAAAAGGAGTAAAAAAGAGAAATGAAAGAAAGAGAAAAAGAAAGAAAAAGGAAATGAAAGAAAGAGATAAAAGAATGGAAAGAAAATGAAATTAAAGAGAGAAAAGAAAGAAAAAGAAATGAAAGAAAGAGAGAAAGAAAAGTAGGAAAGGAAATGAAAGAAAAGAAAAAGAAAGAAAAGGAAAGAAAGAAAAGGAAAAAAAGAAAAAAAAGAGAAAAGCGAAGAAAAAATTAATGAAAGAAAGAGGGAAAGATAGAATAGAAAAAAAAGGAAATAAAGAAAGAGATAAAAAAAGAAAAAGGAAAGAAAAGATGAAAAAGAAAAAAATGAAAGAAAAAAGGAAAAGAGAAAAAGAAAGGAGAGAAAGATGAAAGAAAGGAAAATAAAGAAAAGAGAGAAAGAAAGAAAAGGAAAGGTTTTGATGAAGAAAGGAAAGAAAAAAAAAGAAATTAAGAAAGTGAAAAAGAAAGAAAAGGAAATAAAAGAAAGAGGGATCGAATGATAGAATAGAAAGAAAAAGGGAATGCAAAATTGAGAAAAAGAAAGAAAATTGGGAAAAAAAAAAATTTTCTAGTTTAAAGATATTGTCCTGAAATAAAATGAAAGAAATAAAAGTTGCTCGCCCTATCTAGGGAAAAAGAAAGAGGTCCAGAAAGAAAGAAAGAAAAAAATAAATGAAAAGAAAAAAAAGAAAAGAAAATGCTCTCAGAGAAAAGAAAGCCTCCTTGAAAGAAAGAGGGAAAATAGAATATACTGCCATAGGTCGAATTTAGAAATGAATTCGTTTAGAAAAGAAGAAAGAGGTGAATCGAATGAAGGAAAAGGAAAGAAAGAGACTGCCCAAAAAGAAAAAGGAAATCCTCCAAGATAGAAAAAGAAAGCTAAGGAAATAAAAAAGAGAGAAAGAAAAGAAAAGAGGAAAAGAAAGAAAAAAAAGAAAAAAAGGAAATAAAAGAAAAGGAGACATTGAAAGAAAAAGGAATGAAAGAAAGAGGAAATATAATAGAAAGAAAAAGGAAAACGAAAAAAAGAAATTTTCAAGAAAGAAAAAAAGGAAAAAAGTTTAAAAGAAAAGAAAAGAAAAGGAAAAAAAAGAGAGAAAAAAAAAAGAAAAGGAAATGAAAGGTGAGATATAAAAAAAAGAAAAGAATAAAAAAAGATTTTCAAAAAAAGGAAAGAGGAAAATAAAAGAAAGAGAAAAGAAAAAAGGAAATGAAAGAAAGAGGACAAGATCAAAAAGAAAGAAAAAAAGGAAAAGAAAGAGAATAAAAAAAGAAAAAAGGAAAATGAAAAAAGAGGAGATTCAGAAAAGAAAAGGAGAAAAAAGAAAGAGATAAAAAGAGAAAAGGAAATAAAGAAATGGAAAAGAAAGAAAATGAAAAAAAAAAATGTTATAAAAAGAAAAGAAAAGGAAATTCAAGAAAGAGAGAAAAGAAAGGTAAAGGAAATTTAAAAGAAATATATAAATATAGAATAGAAATTTAAGAAAGAAAAATGGAGAGAAAAGAAAGAAAATGGAAAAGGAAAAAGAAAAAAAAATGTTAAGAAAAGCAAATGAAAGAAAGAGAGAAAAGAAAGAAAGAAAAGGAAAAAGAAAAGAAAAAAAAAAGAAAGAAAATGGAAAAACAAAGAATCTATAGAAAGAAAGAAAAATGGATAGATTCAGAAAAAGAAAGAAAAAAAATGAAAAAAAGAAAAAATCAAAAAACAAAATAGAAAGAAAGGGTTTAAATGAAAAGAAAGAGAAAAAAAGAAAAAGGAAATGAAAGGAAAATGGAAGAAAGAAAGAAATGAAAGAAAGAAAAGGAAAGTTTTAAAGAAAAAAAAGGAAATATTAAGGAAAGGTTCAAAAAGAAAATGGAAAAAAGAAAATGGAGAAAAGAAAGAAAAAGAAAAATGAAAGAAAAAGGGAAAGAAAGAAGGCAAGAAAAAAGGAAATCGAAAGAAACGAGAAAAGAAAGAAAAAGGAAATTAAAGAAATACATAAAAGAAAGAAAAAGGAAATGAAAGAAAGAGAAAAAGAAAGAAAATGGAAATGCCTTAGCAGAGAGAAAAAAAGAAAAAGAAATGAAAGAAAGAGAAAAAAGAAAAAGGAAATGCCTTCTTTCAAAAGGGATTATTTTTAAATATTTAAAAGAAAAAAAGAAATAAGTGCAAAGAGATGTCCAAAGAAAAAGAAAATTTAAGAAAGAGGGAAAAGAAAGAAAAGGAAATGAAAGAAAGAGGGAAAAGAAGAATAGAAAGAAAAAGGAAATAAAAAAGAGATTTAAAAGAAATCAAAAGGAAATGAAAGAAAGAGAGAAAGAAAGAAAAGGAAGGAAAAGAAAAGAGAGAAAAACTCAAAAAAGGAAATTAAAGAAAGAGATAAAAGAAACCAAAAGGATTTGAAAGAAAGAGTGAAAGAAAGAAAAAGGAAATGAAAAGAAAGTTTATAATGCCGATTTAAAAAAAAAAGAATTAAAAGAAAGAAATAAAAGAAAGAAAAGGAAATGAAAAGATGAGAAAAAAAAAAGGAATGGAGTAAAAAGGGAAAGATAGAATAAAAGAAAAAAGGAAATAAAAATTTCGTTTGTAAAAAGTTCTAGGAAATGAAAGAAAGAGAGAAAAGAAAGAAAAAGGAAATGAAAGAAAGAGGGAAAGATAGAATAGAAAGAAAAAAAAAAAAAGAAAGTGAGAAAAAAGAAAGAAAAATTCAATAAAAGAAGGACAGAAAGATTAAAAGAAAAAAGAAAAAAGAAAGAGAAAAATGAAAGAAAAAGGAAATTTGGCAAAAGAGAAAAAGAAAGAAACAGGAAATGAAAAAAGAAAGAGAGAAAAGAAAAGAAATTTTTTGAAATAAAGAAGGATAGAAATGAAAAAAAAAAAGAAAAAAAAAAGAAAGAAAAGAAAGAAAAGGAAATTCATTAAAGAAAAGAGAAAGAAAGAAAAAAGAAATGAAAGAAAGAGAGAAAAAGAAAGAAAAAGAAAGGAAAAAAAGAAAGAAATCAAAGGAAAAGGAAATAAAAAAGAAAGAGGAAAAAGAATTAAAAAATGAAAAGAAAAAAAAGAAAGAGAAAAAAGAAAAATCCCCTGAAAGAAAAAGGGAAAGAAAGGAAAGAAAGAAAAAAGGAAAGAAAAAAAGAGAGGAAAACGAAAGAAAACAAAGGAAAGAAAGAAAAGAAAGAAAAGGAAAAAATAAAAGAAAGAAAAGAAGAAAAGGAAACGAAAAGAAAAGATAGAAAAAAGAAAAGAAAAGAAAATTCGTAAAAAGAAAGAAAAGAAAGGAAAAGAAAATAAAAGAAAAGAAAGAAAGAAACAAAACCAAAGAAAGGAAATAAAAGAAAGAGAGAAAATTTGTTTAAAGGAAAATTAAAAAGAAAGAAAAAGAAAGAAACAGGAAAGAAAAGAAAAAGAAAAAGAAAAGAAAAGGAAATAAAGAAAAAGAAGAAAGAAAGAAAAAGAAAAAAAAAAAAAAAAAAAAAAAAGAAAAAAAGAAAAAAGAAAAGAAAGAAAAGGAAATGAAAAGAAAGGGAAAGAAAGAAAAAAAAAAGGAAAAAAAAGAAAGAGAAAAAGAAAGAAAAGAAATCTTTGAAAGAAAGAAAAGAAAGAAAAGGAAAAGAAAAAAAGAGGAAAAAGAAAGAACAAAGAAAAAAAAGAAATAAAAGAAAGAGAAAAAAAAAAAAGGAAATGAAAAGAAAGAGGGCAAAGAAACAAACAGGAAAATCTTAGAAAGAGAGAAAAGAAAAGAAAAGCAAATAAAGAAAGAGAAAAAGAAAGAATAGAAAAAAAAATCAAATAAAATAAAGAGAGAAAAGAAAGAAAAAAGAAAAAGAAAGAAAGAAAAAGAAAGAAAAAGAAATAAAATCTCCGGAAGATAGAAAAAAAGAAAAAGAAAATGAAAGAAAGAGAGAAAAGAAAGAAAAGGAAATTAAAAAGAAAGAGAAAAGGAAGAAACAGGAAAATGAAAGAAAGAGAGAAAAGAAAGAAAAAGGAAATGAAAGAAAGAGGGAAAGATAGAACATAAAGAAAAAGGAAATAAAAGAAAGAGATAAAAGAAAGAAAAAAGAAAATGAAAGAAAGAGAGAAAAGAAAGAAAAAGGAAATGAAAGAAAGAGGGAAAGATAGAATAGAAAGAAAAAGGAAATAAAAGAAAGAGAGAAAAGAAAGAAAAGGAAATGAAAGAAAGAGAGAAAAGAAAGAAAAAGGAAATGAAAGAAAGAGGAAAAGATAGAATAGAAAGAAAAAGGAAATAAAAGAAAGAGAGAAAAGAAAGAAAATGGAAATGAAAGAAAGAGAGAAAAGAAAGAAAAAGGAAATAAAAGAAAGAGGGAAAGATAGAATAGAAAGAAAAAGGAAATAAAAGAAAGAGAGAAAAGAAAGAAAAAGGAAATGAAAGAAAGATGGAAAGATAGAATAGAAAGAAAAAGGAAATAAAAGAAAGAGATAAAATAAAGAAAAAGGAAATGAAAGAAAGCGAGAAAAGTAAGTAGAAGGAAATAAAAGAAAAAGATAAAAGGAAGAAAAAGGAAATGAAAGAAAGAGAGAAACGAAAGAAAAAGGAAATAAAAGAAAGAGATAAAAGAAGAAAAAGGAAATAGAAAAAAAGAGAAAGAATAATAGAAAAGAAAAGAAAGAAAAGAAAAGAGATAAAAAAGAAAAGGAAAATGAAAGAAAGAAAAAAGAAAGAAAAGGAAATAAAAAGAAAAAGGAAAAAAGAGAAAGAAAGAAAAGAAATAAAAGAAAAGATCAAAAAAAAGGAAATGAAAGAAAGAGAGAAAAGAAAGAAAAAGGAAATAAAAGAAAGAGGGAAAGATAGAATAGAAAGAAAAAGGAAATAAAAGAAATATAGAAAAGAAAGAAAAGGAAATGAAAAGAAAGATGGGAGAAAGAAAAGAAAAAAAAGGAAATAAAAGAAGAAGATAAAAGAAAGAAAAGGAAATTTTTAGAGAAGAAAGAAAAGAATTAAGAAATAAAAGAAAGAAAGAAAATAGAAAGAAAAAGGAAATAAAAGAAAGAGATAAAGAAAGAAAAAGGAAATGAAAAGAAAAGAGAAAAAGAAAGAAAAATGCAGAAAAGAGGAAAGATAGAATAGAAAAGAAAAGGTTAAAAAGAAAGAGAGAAAGATTTTGAAAAGAAAGAAAGAAAGATGGAAAGATAGAAAAGAAAGAAAAGGAAATAAAAAGAAATTCCATAAAAGGAAGAAAAGGAAATGAAAGAAAGAGAGAAAAGAAAGAAAAAGGAAATGAAAGAAAGAGAGAAAAAAAAGAAAAAAAGGAAAAAAAGAAAGAGAGAAAAAAAGAAAAGGAAATAAAGAGAAAGAAAAGAAAGAAAACAAAAAGAAAAAAGGGAAATTTTAAAAAAAAAAGAAAAAAGAAAGAGAAAAAAAGAAAAGGAAAAAAAGAAAAAAAAAGAAAGAAAAGGAAAAAGAAGGAAAATAAAGAAAATAAAAAAAGAAAAGGAAATAAAAAGAAAGAGAAAAAGAAAGAAAAATGAAATGAAAGAAAGAGAGAAAAGAAAGAAAAAGGAAATGAAAGAAAGAAATAAATAAATGAAGAAAAGAAAGAAAGAAAAGAAAGAAAGAAAAAAGGAAAGAAAAAAAGAAAAGAGGGAAAGATAGAAAGAAAAAGAAAAGAAAAATGAAAGAAAGAGAGAAAGAATAAAAAAGGAAAAAAGAAAAAAGATAAAAGAAAGAAAGAAAAGAAAATGAAAGAAAGAGAAAGAATAAAAAGAAAAAAAAATGAAAAAGAGATAAAAGAAAAATAAAGGAAAGAAAAGAAAGAA